CCCTCCCTCCCTCCCTTCCCTCCCTCCCTCCGACTGTCGTGCGGACTCCACTGCTCTGTTGACTCTTCGGCTTCTCGTGCGCGTAACGACCTAACGAGTTGGGCGCCTCCGCTGACGCTGACGGCCACCCTCTCGCGTCGCCACCCTGGCCCCAGTAGTGGCGCCATGACGCTCGGAACGGCAGCGTCCCCCATGGCGTCCAAGCTGCAGCCCACCGCCCGCGCGCACCCCCGGCAGGGGCAGGAGGTCGCCGAGGACGGGGCGGACACGCTGTACCACGAGGTGGCCTCCCTCCGCGGCGCCATGTTCCTGTTCGCGCTCTGGCCGATACACAGCGGAGAGCGCGGTCAGTCAGTAATGCCGTCGTGAAAAGGTCGCATTGATGTCGCCGCGGACATCGTCAGGACGTCGCGAAGCAACTCTAACCAACGGGGTCGTTTGTTGGTCAAAGCCCGGCGCAAAAAATAGATATAGAAAATATACATCGAAAAGATGTCGAAACCATGATCTGACAGTCGTCGTCACTGGTGTCGTTTCGACGTCAGAACCACGCTCCGAAAATCCCGCGGCGATATCGTTCAAAATGTCATATTATTTCCGTTTCGTGTTAATGCCGTTCTCCACCAGCAGGGATGGCGAGGGCGTCCGTGCTGTCGCACTCGACGTGCTACACCGTGCTGGTCTACGCAGTCTGGTCCGTGTTCAACGTGCGCACCCTGGCGGCGCGCTGGACGGCGCTCGGCAGCGCGGCCGCCGCCGACGGGGGCGGCGGTGACGGGTCGGGCGCCAGCGACCTCAACACCCGCCTCGTCAACCTCATCGTGCTGGCGCTCCTGGCGCACCACTGGCTGCTGCCTGTCGCCATCTGGCCCGAGGCCGCCACCCTCGCCAAGTACTTCAACGACTGGACCGCCTTCCAGGTGTGGAGCAGATCGTCGGCGCTTTCGAGCTCAAGAGTCGTGCACGCGGCCAATGGATTTTATGTACCTCACTCCTCACTCAAAAAATCAGTTTACTGGGTGATTCAGAGAAGACGCAAGGGCGGCCGGGTTTGCCCACCTTACGGGCAGAGCGAGTAGGCAAACCCGCCCGCCCCTGCGTCTTCTCTGAATCACCCGGTATGTGCCAGGTGGCTGATTCACGCCGCGCACTTTCTTAGTTATACTGAATCGCATGCACGGGTGCGGACGGTGTCTATCCTCGCTGCCCACGGCTCCTTAGAGCCCCGTGCGAGCAGGCAACCCGCCCGCGCCCGGGCATGCGGTACAGTGTACCTACGAAAGTGCGCGGGGTGAGTCGGCCACCTGGTACACTCTCCAACATGTTTTCTTTTAGAGGAAAAAATCAAGAAAATGAGAAGAATCTGTGTACGCTTTGAGAGTGAAGTACCCCTTAATCTTAGAAACGTCGCCCTTAGGTGGAGTGGTTCGAGGTGACGGGCCAGCCGCTGGAGCTCCGAGTGCACGCGCGCGCCCTGGCCTCCGCGGCGGTGGGCGTTGCCTTCCCCGCCCTGCTCATCCTGCTCATGGTGCAGGTCAGTGCTGCGCCGGACGTCGGACGTCACGTGGTTGCACAGACGGGACGGGGCACTGACGCAACCCTTTGGCTCCCCTACCCCTGCAGGCCGGCGAGTCCCCCGCGCAGGCCGCCGCCCTGTTCCCGCCCCTGTGCTTCTTCTTCCTGGTGGGCGGCGTGTGGTCGACGCTGTGCAGGGCCGTCGAGACCTCGGCGCGCCGCCTGCGGGAAGCCTTCCACGCGGTGAGTCGCTGACGACGATGGCCCGTCGCATTGTCCGGAAGGATTTGTCTGACCTTGGGGTGTCGGCGGCGCCGCTGCAGGAGCGGGAGCTGGGCGTCGTCGGGAACCTGGGCGTGCGCCGGCTGCGCGCCTACGGCCTGCTGTGGCTGCGGCTGCGCGCCCTGGCCGCGCGGGCCGGCGCCGCCCAGTCCGGCACGCTGCTCGTCTACACGGTGTACTCCATGGCGCTGGGCCTGGTGGCGTCCATCGGCGTGCTCGTCGCGCTGCTGCACGCCGACCTGGGCCGCGCCAACTCCGTGCAGGCCCTGTTCCTCGTCGAGAGCCTGCATCACATTTACACGGTGCACGACGCGGGCCACAAGGCGGCGCAGGCGGTGCGTACGGCGGCCCGTTTCCGCACTTGCTTATGTCGCTCTTTTCTTTTTGTCGCCTTTCTCTGTTTATTTTGGGTTCGAGTAAACCTGCTTCGCCTGGCGCAGGCCGCCAATGCCTTGCGCTACGAGATGCTGTGCGTCAAGTCCCCGGCGAAAGACGGAGGAGAGATGGACACCGAGGTGAGTGTGAGTGACGCCTGTCGGTGACGATTTTTGTACCTCGCGTCACATTTTTTAGGGTTGCCAGAAAAGTTTGGCAAAAACCGCCGGAGCACACCTGGCTGGAGTGGGTGGTGTCTCCGCATGCCTACTAGGCAAACACTTCTGCGCGCGTGACCAGATGCTGCCTAGTAGCCAGGCGTCTGTTACACACGAGTGTGCTCCGACGGTTTTCGCCTAACTTTTCTGGCATTCTTGACAAACTTCTGTTTTCCGAGTGCAGGTACGCACGCTGATCATGGCCACCGAGATGCACCAGGGGGGACCCCAGCCCCAGCATGCGTCTGTCATCAGTCTCGGGGGCTTCGCGGCCGTCTCGAGGTCCAGCATGATTGAGGTACGGGGTCGTGCCGAAACTAAGTGTCCTTCACGTACTACGTACTGTACCCTTGCGACCTCTAACAAGGGAAGGTTTTCCGGTGATACAGTCAGATTTCAAAGGCACTTTAAAGAGTAGTTGTTTGCACTTCTAGATTAGGATTGGCACTGGTTTTAGCTGCCCGTAGGACGTTTGTGGGTCATTTCACAAGAATTTCATCAAAAATTGCTCAAATTCATCGGTTTTTTGCCATCTTTGCATGCACATATCTCCGAAACCGTGTGAGCTACAGCGCCCAGATTTTCCAGGTAATTATCCTTTAATTAGTACTTTCAATGAAATATATTTGAACCAAATCAATGGGGTTCACCAAAAGTGGCCTAGGGTCGCAACCCCCTCTCCAGACCCGTTTTTGCGACCCTAATCGATTTCGTTCAAATTTTCTACAATTAAAGAACGTGCTAAATTATGATTTCCCTCGAAATCTGGGCGCTGTAGCTCAAACGGTTCTTGAGATACGTGCATGTAAAGTTGATAATCAGGCTAAAAAGTTTGGCGAATTTTCGATTAAATTCGCGTAAAACGACCTTCAAACTCCCTACGGGCAGCTAAAACCAATGCAAAACCTAATCTAGGGATGAAAACAACAACACTTTGAAGCGCCATTGAAATCTGAGTGTATCACCGGAAAACCTTCCCTTGTAAGTCTTGACCCAATCAGCTAGTCCAGGATCCCCAGTGGAGCTCATCGGGATCCCATGATATTTTTTACCCCAGGGTGTAAACTTTTCTTACCGGCACGCTCTCGCGCCTGGGAGGTAGGCAGCCCAACGTCCTCTGCAACCCCCGTTGCACAGCCCAGTGGTGGTTGCTTTACCGTATCTTGGCTGGTCTGAATCCGTACTCGCCCACTCATTACGTTGCAGGTGTACAACATACTGCTCATCAACCTCCTCGTCCTGCTGCAGTTTGCATACTTTGTGTACTGAAAAGGTCCCTGCGGAATGTGACGAATAAAATATGTCTTGTTGTTTTGAGGTTTGTTCTTTTATTAACAGATGCCTTGCTAGCAGCTCAATTACAATTTTCCTCTCATAAAAATAAACAATTTAATCTCAAGTGCTTTTACACAAGTAAAACTGGAACAATCATTTTACAAATGAATTTAGAATCATTTTAGCAGATGATACATCAATTAGAAACAAGAAAAAGAAAAGAAAGAGAAAAAACTAAAAAACTGGCCTGCCGGCCGGTAACGAGACAGTCCAGCTCCAAAAGTAAATTCAAAATATACAGGCGCTAAGGCATCAAAATAAGACTGAAAATTTGCTTATCAAAACTGGAACGTTAACGGCAATATCGGCAACGGCAACCTTTATCAAAATGGGATACCTTTGGGTACAGACAGGTGTCTAATTGTATATAAGTAATTCACCCAACAAAAGACGGAAAATGAGGCCAGATCCAGCATTCAAATTTTACCTACTTCATAATTTTACTGCGCTGAAAACAAGCGCTTAATTTTCATGTTTCAGAAAGCGAAAATCAGCAAATTATGCTACAATCACCATTCAAATTTTGCTGAATTCGTAATTTCTGCGTGTGCGAAAACAAGCACATTTCATATTTGAGAGCGTTGTGGTTCAAATTTGAGACTGGGGATCACATGTCAAGTGGACAGGCAAGACATATGGTGCCCGGTGCCGATTGAGCTCTAAGAGGGCAGGGAGGGCAGGGGTTGGGGCGCGGGGCGCGAGGAGCAGCGCTCCAAGGGGCTCAAGTGGGGGTCGGCCGGCTCATTATGACCCGGGGCGGGGCTCGGCGCGAAGCAAATGCTGGAAATGTTTACAAATCCAGGAGAGCGATGACAGGGGACTGCCACCGGGCTTGGCACGGACAAGCATGCAGTCGGAAACGGACGGA